CTAAAACAAAACAAAACAAAACAAAACTGCTAAAAAAAAAAAAAGAATCTGGGTATGTTTTCAAAGTAGAAATAACAGGATTTGCTGAATGATTGTGTGTGGATGGTAAAATATAGGAGTCATGGGTAATTATGAGTTTAGGTCCTGAGCACCTGGAAGAGTAGGATTGACATTTACGGAAATAGAGAAGACTTGGGAGAGAATATATAAACTGTATGTGTGTATTTTATGTTCCTCAATATGGGTTTATCTGGTATTTTTATGATTAGATTCAGGTTATACATCCCTGGCCAGAATACTACATAACTGGAGGAGTGTCCTTCTCAAGGTGTCACATCCGGAGGCAAGCAAATGATGTCTGTGTCTGCCCTTCCTTAGTGATGTGAATTTTGATGACCTGGTCAGTGTGTCAGCCATATTAAATCTGAAATGTCTGTTAGATAGCCTCATGGAACTGTCCAATACATTGTTGATCATATGAGGCTAGTATTCAAGGGAGGGGTCCAGGCTGGACATGTCAGTTTGGGAGCCATCAACACATTGGTGTTATTTTGGGCCATAAGACTGGATGAGGTAGTAGTGAGTGTGCTTAGAGAAGAGGACAGATCTAAAGACTCCAGAGATGGACATTCCAACATTTAGAAATGCGGCTGATGGGGAGCTAGCAGAGGAAGCTAGAGAGGCAGAAAGACTAGGAGAGCGGGTGTCCTGTAGGCTGAGGGACGGAAGCGTGGTAAGAAGGAATGAGGGATCGGTTGTCAAATGCTGCTAAGTCAAGTAAGATGAAGACCAAGAATAGAACAGATAATCAGAGTATTACTAGAATCGATTATTGGTGACCTTGATTGGAGCCATGTCATGGAGTCGTGGAGCTGTTGGAATACAGAATGAGAGCAGATGCAAAGAAACAGCAGATGTTGTCTCTTGAGGAGTTTTATTGTAGTTACAAATAGTTGGGGTTTTTTAATCTTCTTACGATAGGAGCAGTTAGAGCATATTTATATATGATGGGGTGTTCTGGAAGGGGAACGATTGATGGTGGAGGGAGGAGAGGATTGCTGGAGTAAAAGTACGGGAGGGGATAGCTATGTGGGGCATTGGGGAATGGGCTGGAAAGATCGTGTATCCACAATTGCGGGAGAGAAGGCTGTGGAAAGGGTCACAGACGCTAGTATCTGGGCCCATGGGGGCTTGCGGACGTTCACTTCCAGCTGTTCTTACCATCTTAATGAGATGAGGCAATGTTATGTCAGATGGAGGTTAAGGGTGGGAGGTGGTTTAAGAATAAAGGAAAAGCTGTGAGCCGGTTGTCTCAGGCAGTGGGAGAAAGAACGGGCGAAATAGGCAGATGCTGCTGGTGCTGAGGGCCAGTTGGGGAGCCCTTGTGAGAGTAGAAGTGACCCCGGTCAGCGAGGCTGCTGGCTCTTCTCCAGCCGGGGCCAGCCAGCTGTGCCGGGGCACAGAGCAGATGAACACTTAGATTTGCTAGGCTTCATGACCAAAGTGAAGCCAGAGTGGGGTGAGGGAATTAAAGTGAGGGTATGATTCACATGAACCTGGAATTTGAGCTGGTTTGGGGGGGAAGTGGGGACATGGTGTGAGTGGGAGACAGGGAGGAGAGGTGGGGAACCAGTGGGCAGTAGTCTTGGGGAGACGAAAGCTGAGGTGCTGGAGAGAGGTCCCTGGGAAGAGAGGTGGTTGTTAGTGAGTGGCATGCTTGACATTGAGAGTCAGAGACGGGGCGCCTTGGTGGCTCAGGTGGTTAAGCATCTGCCTTCCACTCAGGTGGTGATCCCGGGGTCCTGGGATCGAGCCCCACATCGGGCTCCCTGCTCGGCGAGAAGCCTGCTTCTCCCTCTCCCACTCCCCCTGCTTGTGTTCCCTTTCTCGCTGTGTCTCTCTCTGTCAAATAAATAAAATCTTTAAAAAAAAAAAAAACAAAAGTCAGAGGGTTCACGTTGGCAGTGCTGGGGTCTAGGCTGTCAGCTTTGGAATCGGTAGTCAGGTGAGGTGGACGACGTGACCATTACTGGAACCTTTGCATTGAATTCTTTATCGCAGCAGCCCTAGTCTTTCAGTTTCCAAATGTGTTTTCTTACTTCTTTAATCATTTTTCAAAGCTGTGCTCTTGCTTTGTAGAAGACATCTTCTCAAATCTCTGAGGACATTAATTAGATATTTTTAAGAGCCTGCCGTTCCCTGAATGATCTCCCGTTCCTGGGTCACCTTTCTGTCTGTCTTGGTGTCTTGTTGCAAGCTCTCTTCCGGTACCTGCTGCTCCGGTGTTTACTCATGTTTATTCATGAGGCGATTTGAAGTTGCTTGGAATCTGTGCAGACAGGGGCAGCAGAAAGCCGGCTTCGGTGCCCTGCCCGGGACGTGCAGAGCTGTGCCATGGGCCACCAGCGCCCGCACGGAGCTACCTCGGTTCTTCCCAGTTTACGTGCTTTCTTGGGAGAACTCTGTTCGTTCGTTTTCGTTTGGGAGATAAACCCGTAGGCGTTCACGTTTTGGGGGAAAGGACATACTGACTGCTCTGTATTTCAGTTTGTCCTCCTGTGTCCAGCCCTGCGTGTCATCCCGAGGGCTGCTGTCGAGCCTGACGTTCCCAAGGTTGAGTGTCCCTGGGATGTCGCAGGCCGGAAGTCTCCTTGCTGGATGTCCTCTCCGTGTCCTGCGTGCGGCCGCCTCTGTTAAGCTTTGTCAGCCTCGTGTCCTTTCTGACATTTCTGAAATTAATTTCTTTTCTACTGTCCTTTTTGTTTTTGTGAGTTTATAACACACCCCTCCCCACTGCTCCATTATCATTTTAATGGAGTTTTAGAAGGTAGAGGTTGGAGACACACTTGTGTTCAGAAGACAAAATGAGAGGAGAGATGACATTGCTTTTCCCCTATGTTGAATTATTTTTTGGTTCACCGTATTTGCAGAGAGTAAATATAAAATATTAAGCTTTTTGTGATCACTTTTCAATATGAATGCAAGGTAGTTTATTTAACTTCTGGCTCGCTGGAAGTAAGTTGAATATAGCATTATTATTTTAGATTATAGATGAAGAAATTGAGGCAGTGAGAATTTTGATGTTCACCTGTAGCAGAGCAGGGACTGCCTGCTGGGTGTGGGGAGGGGGTCAGAGTATTGATTGGGAAAGACAGAAAGGAACTTTTCTTCCCTTTTTCCATTTTTGCCATAAGAGAGTTTTGATTATGTTGCTTGGTAACATCAGAAATGTCGCAGTCTTTTTATGTCAAGTGTTTTACTCTAGAGAGCTAGCTTAATGATACTGACCCACCTCTCCAGTAGTATGAAGCTTCTTGCTTGGAAAGGGCTTTGAGATTTAGGAAAGAGAAGTGCAAGTATTACTTGCTTAGAGTAATTATCTTGTAGATGTGAGCTTAAAGAGATTTTTTAAGCAGTGATACCCCTGTCCATATTTAGAGAGAGTTTCATCAAAATGAACATGACTTCCACTTATAATACTTAAATTTGGGGGGTCCATTTCTGTAAAGCTCAAGGAAGTTCAGTTTTTGAGATCAGTTACTGTAAGCATCAAAAACCAACTTCCAAAAATAATGTCCACTGATACCAGAGGCAGTGACATAGTACAAATTTATAATCATGACTTTCTGTTGGCATTGATGTTTTTTCTTACCAGTGAGTATTTTTTTAACTGAGAATAATGCTGAAAACGTTTTTTTCCCTAACTTCTTTTATTTGCAAAGTTGGAAAAGGATTTCATACTTTACTGAATGCTGGGAAAGGCTATTACACAGTTTGTGGCAAGGCTGTTCTAACCAGTTAGAATCTGAGTCATTTGCTTTATTTTTGAAAAGAACCAGGATTTGCTCTTCTGAAGCTTTATTTTTAGGTATGTGTTTGATTTGTAAAATCAAAGGTTTAAATGTCCTCCAGATGGGATAAAAGAGAATGGTAAGGAGTATTATATCCCACAACAATTGAACGATGATACATGAACCACACATCATCATTTTATTTCTGATTTCTTTTAGTTTTATATTTTCAGAGTTACAGATAGTAGTATGAAAAACCTCAAGGCGTTTTTTTGCTGATTTCTTTTATCTTTTCAGAGTTATAGATAGTAGTATGAAAAACTTCAAAGCGTTTTTTCGCTGGCTTTATGTGGGTAAGTTAATTGAATAAAGCATTCTTGTTACCTTAACACTTCTTTAAAAACTGTGGGAGTATCAATTTAGAATATTTCAGTTATTCTGGTAAAATTTCAAGTAGCCGTACGAGTAGAGCGAATGGTGTAAATGACCCCTCTTGTACCCCTCACGGGTGTCAGCGGTTTCTACGCGTGGCCCGCCTTCCTCCTGCACCCCAGGCCCAGGCCCCCCCCAGACGTCACTTGTAGCACCGATTGTCCCTGTCACTCACTGCTGATGGTTAACATTTTTTTTTTTTTTAACCTTGTAACTTCTCCTTAGGTTAAAATAACACTTTTGAATCTCTGCTATGTATTAAGCACTGGTAGGTGTTAGGTTTTTTAAAATGAGAGGGGGGGAAGACAAAGATCTGGCCTCTGCTCTTGAGTAGCTTATTTTCTGTTCTGTTTTTTGATCTTCTGTTTCTAGATGTATGCCATCCGTTAGGGTAGCCAGTAGCCACCTGTGGCTCTTCAAATTATTTGAAATTATAGGGCACCTGGTTGGCTCAGTTGGTTAAGTAGCTGCCTTCAGCTCAGGTCATGATCCCAGGGTCCTAGGATGGAGCCCTGTGTTAGGCTCTCTGCTCAGTGGAGAGCCTGCTTCTCCCTCTCCACCGCTTGTGCACTCTCTCTCTCTCTCTCAAATAATAAATAAATAAAATCTTTAAAATAAATAAATTAGTTGAAATTATGTAAGTTACATGTTTAGTTCTTTAGTCACGCTATGCACATTTGAAGTACTCTGTGGCCACACACTGTTAGTGCCACATTGAACAGCACTGAACAAGAAGTTTCTAGCATCCTTTCCATCAGACACTAGTGCCCTAGCTAACTAGAATGCAGACCACTCGTTGCCTTTCTTTGTGTCTCCACAGTGTCTTTTCATTTGTAGTTAGTTAACCAGGATTTATTGACTTGATAGTGTTTTAATGCTTACTCTACAGCATGTGCATATTTTACGGAGGTCCATTTGTACTATTTTTGTGACTCCCCCCCCCTTAATATCTTTGAAATAATCCAGCATACATTCCCTTCCAACACAGGCAAAATTTAGTTTTAAATGGGATTTATCCCACGTTTGTTAAAATTCTAAAGAGTAAATAAAATAGAAGTTAAATTATCTGTAATGTGCTCATATCTTTTAAACAAATGCCCAAATCTTCAATTCTGATATCTTATAAACAGACTTTGTATTTGTCAGCCTAATGTAATTGCTTATGATAAAAAAAGAATGGGATCCGCAGATGTTGGCATTTAAAATTCTTCATTTTTTTCTCAAAACCGTACCAATGCTAGCCATAATGGGGAGCCAGAGTGTTTATCAGGCCAGCCTGTTTAATATCAGAGATGCTGATTAGAATAAATTACAATATTAAAACTGAATGAGGTCTTCGAAATAATTTTCTTTTACAGAAGAGGATTGGTTTTACTTGTAATTACTGGAGTAGTTGAGGCAGTTTATATTCTTATTGCATGTCCTAACTCTAATGAGAAGTCTGATTAGAAGAGAAATGAATTACTGCTCAGTCCTTATCATTAGAGCAGGGCATTGCAGAAAGCACGCTGGATCGGAGAACCAGAGACCTCATTATAATCCCGGCTCTGCCACTCGTTAGCTGTGTAGCCTTGGTTTGCTCCTTTGGAAAATGGAGCCTCTATGAAGGCAGGAACTTCTTTTATACCATTGTATCCCCAGCACCTATAGTATGCTCAGTGAGTAATTTTTGGACAGATGACTGAATGAGTGGACTAGATCATGACTTGCTTTTCAGATAATTTAGAAGTTTGAACTAATTAAGAACAGTTTCTAAAATAATCTGTGTTTGCAGAATCACATCCAGCATGCTTATTCCTGACTGAATGCAATTAAGAAGGATATTCAAACACTGTGCAGAAACACGTGCAGCGTTCCTCTTGACTTTTAGGTGAACATAATATAAAAACACAACCCTCAGAAAGTACAAAATGAATATTAAAGAGTCTGTAAATATATGTATACATAAGTGTATGTATATACACAGAAGTCTTAGTGCAAATATCTTTGTGTAGCAAAAGACCCAGGGGAGAGAAACAAGTTTGTTTGGTATTCTAAGGCTTTTGGAGGAATTGCTTGCAGATTTTAGGAGAAGAAACGCCATGTGTTAAGAGAGGAAAGAATCCAATCTGCACACATTGCCTTCGTACAAAGCAGCCGTCACATCGGTCTGTCCATAGTGGCAATGGGTTGAGTTGAAGGAGAAAATAAAAAATAATAGTTTAGTAGGATCGTTAGGCCGGCCATTTTAAACCTGAAAATACAATTAAAATTTAAAGTCTTCATGTTTTAGTATTTAGAAGGAAAATGTTTTCCTTGGTGAAAAGATTTCTTTGGTTGAATATTGAAGATTTAGTCCAGTGAAACATATTTAGTCTTTGAAATATATCTGTATTAAAATTACGTTTGTAGCTTTCCTTTAAAGACAGTTTTTTGATTTCTGTTGCCAGCAATGTTGAGAATGACGGAGGACCATGTGCTTCCGGAGCTGAATAAGGTAGTATGTGGTAGTATGTTTTCCAGCACGTTACTGCTGCTCTCGCTGAGCTCAGCGTGGCTGCTCGTCTCGGTGTTCTTACACCATTGCTAGTTTACAAGATGTCAGGCTGTGGATGCTAAATACAGCTTAGTAAGCCTTTTTTTTTTTTTCCTTTAAGAAATTTGTTTTTCATCACAAAATACCTTTACCATGGCTATCTAATTTTATAATTTTCATGTTTATGTAAGATTTTGTAACCTGCATTATGTAGGGTGCTTGTATTCTTTACCTTCCTTAAGTTTTGAATGCATTTTTATTTCCTTGGAAATCTGGTACTTTAGATATTAGTCCCAGTGCTGATGTCTGGTAAACAGTTTTTCTGACTACAAGGATTGTGACAAGTGGCCGTGGACTTTCCTTTAAGTAAGAACGTTCAGACTAGGGCAACATTCCCGCCTGATTTCTGTGTGAGCATCACTGTTGAGTTGTAGGTCTTCACTCAAGTCAAGGTGACTTCTCTGGACGTACAGTCTCCTCTTCCAGAGCAGGGACCCTGCACACACAGTCTTAACATAAGGCCTAAAATAATAAACAACTTTAGGCCATAAGGAATTCTGTAGCTATTAGATTAGCTGATTGGAAAATGGGTTTAAAATGTTTAATTACATGCTTGTCAGAGCCTCAAGATTTCATATTTTCACAGTTGCGTAATCTTTTGGATTTCTGTTGATGTTTCTTTGAAGCAATGTTGCCTCTTGTATCATGGCTTTTAGTAGATAGTAAAAAAAAGTCACATTTATTATTATAAAAATATAAGATCTATTGGGAAGCTTTCTTTTGTCTTGATTTGTTTTTCTTTTCCTTTTTGGTTTTGATAGATGACTCAAAAAGATATCACATTTGTTGCCGAATTTCTTACTGAACACTTCAATGAGGTAGGAAATTGGTATTTATATAATGTTGTTGTTTGTTTTTTTTTTTTAAGAATTGCAATAAACCTGGGTAATGGTGAGAAGTAATCACATTTAATCTAATTTAATTGACATTTTTAGCAGTTGTACTTTTTAAACTATTGAACTAATTAATGGCAATACTTATTTTAGAGCCTTTATAAATTCAACTTTTGTTTGGATATGTGTCATACAATCAAAAAGAAAAAGATAACTGCCACTAACAGCTCTCTTCAAAAATAAAGGCTTTCATTAAGCTTAAGAATTTTTTTCTTTCTCTTTTGTGAGTTGACTTAAGAGTTAAACTATGTTTATTCTTTCTAGGCTCCAGACCTTTATAACCGAAAAGGAAAATACTTTAATGTTGAAAAAGTTGGTCAGGTATGGGCTTTGATTGAACTTGGTTATTACTCTTTTTTAGAAATTATTAAAAACTGGGGCACCTGGGTGGCTCAGTCATTAAGCGTCTGCCTTCGGCTCAGGTCATGATCCCAGGGTCCTGGGATCGAGCCCCGCTTTGGGCTCCTGGCTCAGCGGGAAGCCTGCTTCTCCCTCTCCCATTTACCCTGCTTGTGTTCCGTCTCTCACTGTCTCTCTCTCTCTCTCAAATAAATAAAATCTTAAAAAAAAAGAAAGAAATTATTAAAAACTAATGTTAAAACTTTAGCAGTGTTAGTCTTTATTATTCAAAGTTTCTGGAAAATAATGCAGTGACAGCTTACACAGCAGCCCTGTTCTTTTAGTAAAGTAACCAAAAAGGAGCAGTTTTTAGACTTTTGGTCTCAGAACTCTTATATTCTTAATAATTATTGAAGACCCCAAAGAGTTTTTGCTAATGTGGGTTATATTTATCAGTGGTAGATGTTAGTAGGCATTAGAAATGAAACAGAATACAAAATTATTTAAAAGTAACAATAATTCCACTTAACCATTACATGTTAACATAAATATTTTTAATGAAAAATGACTGTGTTTTATAAAACAGCTTAGTGAAGAGTGGCATCGTTTTGTAGTTTTGCAAATCTCTTTGCTGTCTGGCTTAATAGAAAACAGCTTCTCATTGCTTCTTTAGTCGGTTGTGTTGGGTTTCTATGGTCAATGTATGTAAAGAAAATCTGGCCTCATGTAGGTTTTAGAAAGGGAGAAGTATTGTAATGGCTTTTTCAGATAATGTGGATGTTTTTTGATATTATACCAAGTCTTGATAAGAGAGAGTGTCTTAAAGGTTGGCTTTAATGTGGAATCTAAAATTGCATCAGTGAGCTTTTCGTACTCTGATATATTAAAATCCATTCATCTGTCTTGTGCTGTGAATGGATCTTTTACCCGTGCATGATTTTGTAATACTATGTATTGGTCGTTTGGAAAATACTGGTTCACTGAGTTATGCAGATCTTCCAAATGCTGACACGTTTCTCCATGCAGTATCCAAAAGTCACATTTATGAATATCCGTACCAATATCATCAGAAAATCTTTTAAGTACGTACTGTGGCTGTCAAGCACACAGTGGCAGATTTAGATTTTCCAAAATTTTAATTTTTGCTTAAATGTTTAAATTTTATCATTGGCAACAAATACTGCCAGTTGTTTTTCTTAAAGTGACAGGCTTGCTTTATTTTCAAGAAACTGTCTACCAAATACCCACGTACAAATGATCATAGCTTATCTGCCAGTCATTCTTTCAAATAAAAATGGAATTCCATTGACAGCAACAAAGTGCCTGGCTTAACCCACAACTCAAACAATTTCTTAAATGTTTTTTCCTCAGGGTCGCCGTTGTACTTTGGTATCTGCAAAAGTGCTTTATGTATACTTCCCAATCCTCTCACAGAGAACAGTAAAAAGATTTGTACTTCAGGGTTGAGATTAAATAAAATTAATTATTTTATTTATTTATTTTTATTTTATTTTTTTTTAAAGATTTTATTTATTTATTTGAGAGAGAGAATGAGA